GTTACTTAGAAGAATTCTAGATTTTTACTTTTTATATTATTGAGGAGTTTTTAGTGCAGCTATATAATGTAACCCAAATACTGTGCTTTAATTATGTTCATGAATTCTGTGGACTACAGTGAGTCCATTCACTTTATATATACTAGTGCTGGGCCAGCCAGAGTGGTCACTTTTGTCATAGCTTTGTGACTTTTAGTGTTTAAAGAAAGATGTAATTGTACATAAGAAATGTGTAGCAGTGTCCAAGGCATTTACCTCATGGCAAGTTCTACCATATTAAGGTGGACTTGAGCATCGAGAGTTATGTAAAAGGTATAACTGATAACTCATGATGCTTTCTTTAATTTCCCATTGATGACAGTTGAGAGGAGGAAGACAGTGGTCCAACTGTATGTATGGTATGGTTTCATAGGCTACATCCCTGGTACACTAGACCTTGTACTAAAGTTTAATATTTTGGTTTATAGATGCCATGAATGCTGATTATTTTTCAAACAGTTGAGTAACATAATCTTTGTGAAGGTGCTTGAAAAACATTCAGCATTAGATGGAGGTGTAAGGCAGTATTAGTCATGTTAGAAAAGCTGTGTAGAAGAGGCATGAAACGTAAAACCTGGGCTACAGTTTAAAGAAGCCCTTCTCCCAGTCTCCTTTCATTGTTTGCCATTGCAATGACTTTATAGAAAGAATGGACCCAACGAACTGTCTTTCCAGTTTCTCCTCTGGTTTTCATCAGAAGTGCTTTTTTGTAAAATCATAAAGAGCATAAATGTATTTTGTGATTAACCTTTACATTTCATGTTATATCATATTGAATATTTCCACTCTTTTGAAAATAGTTTAGTATTTAAAAAATGCCTATACAGGCCTTTGTTCCATTTCGTTAGTAAAACCAGATTTTGTTTAACTCTGCCTCTATTTTTGTACTTACAGGTTGTTTCCAATTTTTCTCTCTTACATATAGTGCTGCTATGGAGGTTCTTTTTTAGACAACTTTGATTTTCCTTTAGGGATATTTTCTTGGGGGATTTGTGTTCGAAAGTCGAATTACTAGGCCAAAAGGAATGTTGACTATGGCAGTATTTTCTTTTTTTTCCCATTTTTGTAGGCCTCCTCTACTTTACAAGCCTCAAAAGTATGTTATTTTCTACATCCTCAACCATTTAATTTTATAATGTTTTTCATTTTCCTGTTTCCTTCAGGAATGATAAAAAAACATTCCTTTTTTATCCTGTGGTATTTTTCTGTGTTTGCCTTTATAAGCTAGGATAAATTTTAAGCATGTGTTGGCATCCCCTTCATTTTACAGATAAGTAAATTGGAGCTGACATTGATAGATTATAGGCTTTTGCCATGATTATATAGTGCTTTAGATTGTTAGCTACAGATCTGGAATTAGAACCCAGGTTTCCTGATTCCTACTTTAGTTCCGATGATAGTGATGATAAAACTCATTGAGGTACATAACACAGGGAAGAATGGGAGGTCATGGGAGCTAGCCGGACTGCCCCTGTGTCTTGTGACAAGTTTCCCTTAGAGCTGGTCTTCTTCATTCCCCACTTAACACCATGACTTGTGTGTCACTAGACATATTTGGGGATTGGTGACTCTAAAGCAGTCAAAACCGCTTTAATGAAAAAGTATCTTTCAATTATTGTCACCATTAGTATTTTGTGCATACTTGTTTACAAGCAGAAAAATGTTGGGCTTTGGCAAAGAATATTTGCTCCTTAATGTTTAACTTACACTCCACTGAACTAGAAAAATCACTTATGGTAGCACATTACTTGAAAATAAAAAAAAACTGCAATCATAAATTTTCATTCTGTCACCAGCAGTGTATCTGACACTATGAAATAACCACCACACTGTGACACTGCAGAGGATCTAGGCTGTTTTTAGTGGGGATATCAAGAGTGATTTTCCCGTATGTTTTGCATTGGTGGTCTGCATGCTTAGACATTTTGCTAAGTAAATTTCTCCAACTCTGGTCCACATAAATAGCAACCTGCAATTACCAAAAATATTTTC